TGCATCTTTGTAACTTTAAACAAATAGGATAGGCCCTTCACTTTATGGCTCTCTAGATGTGTCCCATGGCAAACGCAATGCCTGACAACTCTGTTTAGAGGCTGTAACAGTTAGAAGCCAAGCCTTGCTCAAGCAGAGTTCTATTTAATTATCCATCTGGGGTCAATTTACTTTATTACAGCTGTAAAGTGGGCTCAGCTCAACTTGCCAATTTCCATTCCAATCTGCTTTTTAAATGTTTCGCTTTCACAGTTCAGGCATTTTACGGCAAATCTTTTAAATCATGTGGATTGTACTAAGTGGGACATTTCGTCAAAAAATGTAGATCAGTTCTAAGCCTGTGATACAATTTGAATTTGTTTTAAGTTTTGGAAACTGAGAAACATAAGCTTAAATGGTAAATAAGCACATTGTTAATGGTTTAAGAATCATTTACACATTAGAGCACATTTTTCAAGTTCCTTCTCTGTGAAAGGCAGAGAATGATAACAAAACAAATTGCGTATTACTCTTAAGAAGTGTAAAGGTACATTAATTTTTAAGTAAGTGAATCTGCAAACATATATAAAACTGAATAATGGGAGATGATCTTGATATCTAATATGCTCCTCACAATCTCAATCTATACTTATAACATCTGCATAGCTGTATTGTACATTAATATTTTTTTCCTTTGAAATATGACAATTTCTCAAAAACATTTAATTTTTTCTAAAAGCATTCCTCTGAATGGATAGACAATGGGTTGCTATATGCCCTCCCTTCTTTAAAGTCCCACTGTTTTTCTCTACTATATAATGGGTGTGCATGTGGTGATTAGAGGGATCCAGAGACTCGGGCTACTATGTGCTGTCATCAACTAATGGTCTACAGGAAACAGATTATTGCAAGGCTGTTCTAGAGCCCCATGAAGGAAGTTTACTTTTAGGGGATGTTACTCAGTCACAAAATAGGTCATTCTGTGGTAAAGATGTCACTCAAAACATGATCAGGACCTGAGTTTAATCCTCTAGCAGGAAGAAAAATGAGGACCAATGACAAAGATCACAGACAACAACAATTCGACACATGCTAATTTAGAAATGTAATCAGACTTAGTTGAAAGTCCCACTAACAATGCAGACTGTTGAAGTACTTTATTTAATGACCTGGGTACTTATTTCAATGATGTAGGTGAACTGTGCAACCTGTCTTAAACGTGATGGAAGTGAACCTGGAGATGTGACACAGAGGCTAAGAATTCTGGTTTCTTTCCCAGAGCACACAGGAGACAGCTGACAATTCTCTGTAACCCCTATCCCAGTAACGCCTTGGTCCCCACAGGCACTGTGCACACATGATCCCTAGACATACACATATGATTGAATAAAATTAAAAAATGAAAGACGATGAAAGTCACAGGAGTCAGTGACAAACTTTGGGTAACTACCAAGCAGCATGCGCGGAAGTGAAACTCATGTGTTTTTGCCCTAGACTGCATTTTTTTTTTTTACATTTTCGTGCTGTGATATTCCATACCATCTGCCCTCAACTTCTGAGAAGAAGGCCCTGTGACTTGTGCCTTTTGCTGAGAATACGCTTTTTGGACAAATATTTGACTTTGAGACCAATGAAAGATTACAAGATATATGATCACAGCAGAAGTTTCAAGAGGTAGTAGGTATTTCCCCAACCTTTCTGCCTTTTGTGAAATATTCAGAATGCCATGTTCCAGAAAACACCACTCACATAGACTGATGGAACAGAGATGGCCCCAGCACTGACAAAACTGAGAGTAAGATAGAGCTGTTGCTGAGGACAGTGTGTATCTTTGATAGTAGAGTAGCCTAGGAAAAGGTGATATAATAAAACATAATAGGAAGTGGGATATCACCATAACAAAGCATCCTAGAAAGTATGCGCTTGGCTTTAAGTCTGAGAAAATGATTGCTGGGAATTAAACAAACCACTTCTCATGTCTTACAGTAGTTTACCTTGTTCTCTTGCTCTGTTTTGATTAAAAGATTTGAAGAACATAACTTGACTTTGATACTAGATATAAAAACGTCTCAGAAGTTATAAATAAAAAGAATTAATTATAAATAAATATATTAGTGTGTAACATAATATATGTAAAATACATATTACATTTAATATATGTAAAATAAAATATATGTGTGTAAGCAATGAAAATAATTTTTTTTAAAAACTTCTGCTGTAAAAAATGAAAGAAAACTAAAAAATTAGAAATTGTACAACATAGAGGACTAGAAATTGTAAAAGCTCTTTGGTTCCAATAAGTGAATTAATGGTCTTGAAAAGGTGTTTTCAATACCAAAAATTAAAACACAAATGAAGACTCATTCTCAAAGACCAAATAGGACATTGTAGATATTCAGGAAAACTAATGCTAAGGATATTTGAAAATGCTGAATGGAAATTAAGTATTTTACAAGCTTCTACATATAAAAGCTCATGAAATAGAACATCAGGTACCTGCATGTAGATATAGCTATATCCATATAAGAATTTAATGGTTTAATTGGAGTTGCTCAGGGAATATTTCTCCTCCAAGATGCTGCATGTTGCCAAGTAGAAAGTCTCTTGCCAAATGTTGAATTATTGGTCAAGGAGGTCCCATAGAATACCCAAAGCAATGTAGGCCACTGTGTTGCTCGTTTCCTACAGCTGCAGCTAACAACACCACATACTTTGATATGGAGACATAGAAGTGGTGCCAACGGGGAATCTTCCTTCCTCTTAGTAAATTTTCATAGTATCCCAAGGTGCTATGCAGATGCTAGGGGAGAAAAATCAGTAGCAGCCTTAATGAGCTGTGACTCTTTGAGCTCCAATACAGACAGGCAGTGGACATTAAGGGTGCAGTAATGGCAGAAATGCTGTGTGGATAACAACCACTTTCTGATTTTAGGGGAAAAATTTAGCAAAATAATAGTAATTGATTCATCTCTGGAGTTTATGAGTTCTCCAGTCCTGGATTTTTAGTAAGGTATTTTCATAAGAGGAAACTCTTACAGAATATGACTTTAAATTAAATATTCCTGTCTCTCCACCCATAAATTGGCATAGGTCTTCACCTCTTCCGAGAAGTTTCTTTGTTGTTATGGGGGGGGGGATTATTTCAGAAAGTTGCAGCTGGGTAGAGTATTGGCAAGTGTCTGTGGGGTACGCAGTCACAAATGGTGCATGCCTATCACATCCTCTACCCCCACAATTCAGAGACCTGTGCAAGAGGAACTGGGAGGGAGAGATTTGTATGAGCCAGAGGTTGCGAAAAAACTAAGACCAAATAGTTTCTTATGGAAATAGGAAGACTACTATACTCATGAACTAACAGTCGCTATGGTTGCCCATATAAGACATGCACAAAATCCAGTTGATCGTTATGCACGTAGCAGGGGCTCAGGATCTCCTATTCTCATCTGAGAGGCTAGAAAGTTGATGGGTGATGAGTAGGAGTAGAGATTGGGAGAAATACGTTTTCTTTAAGTATGTGGCTCCTTAGGTAGGTCAACCACACTTCGGGGATGTCCTCAAGTCCGTGAGTAAATGAGAAGCACAAATTTGACTCAGTGCACTACAAATAAAATAAAATAAAAAGAGGATATGGCCTTGCAAGGAGTGCTGACATGGGAGGAGTTAGAAAGAGGATCGTTGAGTAAACAAGATTAAAATACATTGCCTAAATATATTATATCCACAAATAATAAAAATATTGTTTAAAAACCAAACAAAGGGAATTGTTCTTAATGAATTAAGATGATCTCAGTGAGTTCTTTCTCAATAAAATATGTTAAAGAAAAGAGATCAAGAACCTGCTAGCCCACAAGTTTAATAAACTCAGTGTACTGGTGATTGTCATATAGAAGAAAAAAAATATGTTTTTATCATGCCATATAATTTACTAAACACAAGAAGTTGAGTAATATACACTCTACATTTACAGTTTTCCACACATGTTTGCTGATTTCTTTCAAGTCATCAAGATTCAACTGAAATGTTACCAGCCTCAGCTTAGAAATCTCTGCGCCTGCCCACTTTACCAAATGCTGATACCTTGTGCTTGTATTAAAAAGGCTATTTCCACTTTGTACCTGATTATATCCCCTCTAAAGACTGAATTCACTGGTTACATAAACTGGTGGCTTAGTTTAAAGTTGGTATGCAGATGATACTAACACATGACAAATGAACACTAAGAGAATGGATAAAATCTCATGTGTGGGACCATTTTCTAGCAAATCAGAGTAACTTAATTCAGAATTAAAACTTTAAAAAGATCTTAGTTATACTGGATATGGAAAATGTTATAGGATGGGTGATGGGGGGAGCAGAAGAAAACAACCCTGTGTTATCTTATTCCTTAAATTTATGGTAAATGAGATCATTGAAGTTGAAGATGTAACCCATATGTTAAATGTGTTACAGAAGTTTTACTTAAAATAAAGCCATTCATATTTAAACCTTCCAGGAATTAGAGTTAATTTTTGTGATTTATAATAGAAAGTACAATTAATCATTTTGCTCCCAGGGACTTGAGAGGTGACTCAATAGTTAAAAACACTAGTTGTTCTACTAGAGAATCCAAGTTTGGGTCCCAACATCCAAATGGCAGCTCTTAATCAACTATAACTCATTCTAGGGCATTTGGCACCCTCTTCTGGTCTCTGAGAGCACTGCGTACATGTAGTGTGTTGATATACATGACGCAAAATACCATAAAAATAACCATAAATAAATCCTTAACAAAAGAAATATTACTCCTAAACAAAGAAAAATACTCAGCTAATTATTGAGGTTGAGTTTTATCAGAAGTGTAGACTTCTTAAGGTGGAATTTAATTTGCTTAATATCAGTAAAAAAATCAAGGAATATGTTCACGTCCAGAGTCTCATTAGAACAAACAATCCTGTACTGTATGTTATATTAGTCCAAAGAATTTTTAAATTGGTTTTTAATATACATTCCAAAGAAGACACAAATTATTTGATATTACATACCTGTCGGCACCAGAGTTTACGGAATATTTGTAGATAAGCCAATACCATAAGACACAGAGGTGCCATGTACGTCACCAGAAAGAAGCAGATGTGGTACATCTTTGGGTAAATGTCACCTGAGATGAGAGTCAAACAGTAAAATATGACATGAACATGATGAATTTAGAAAAGCTTTTCCTGCTAAAGTACACATGTATGTTCTTATAACTTCATTTTATGTTTTATGCATACAAGGGAAAATAATCTACAATATTTCACTTAATAGTCTCAGAGAAATAATAATTACTCATTTCTAAATTGGATATGATCACAATCTAATCACTATTAAAAAATTTATGTATCAAATACATCTTTATTTTGCATGCCTGCAATTAGCTAGTTAAAAAGTACTATTTTGGATGGTCATATATATTCACTTACTAAAAGGGACCTGGTTAAAATATTTTTTGATTAAAAAAATATTGACAAAAACCTTGTTTAAAGAAGAGCTAAATGTAAATACAGTTAATGATCCTCATTAGAAGGTAACTGGCAATATTTAAAAGGATTAAAAGGCTTAGAAGGTACGGTCTTTCTGGAGGAAATGTGTCACTGGGGGTGAACTTGGAAGTTAAAAAGCCCATGTCAGGACCCAGACTCTCTTTGTGCTATGAATCAGGATATACCTCTCAGTTATTTGTCCAGCACCACGTCTGCCTACATGTGGCTATGCTTCCCACCATGATGGTAAAAGACTAAATTTCTGAATCTGTAAGCAAGTCCCCAGTAAAATAAATATTTTTTTCATAAAAGTTGCCTAGATTGTGGTGTCTCTTTGCAGCAATAGATTAGTGACTAAGCTAGCTGTGGAATTATCACTTCTGCATTTAATTAAGAAAGAATATAAAGGATGAAACCTTGGATATTTGATCAAATTGATCATAAGAGCAACTTGTATTTAGGATGTATCATAATAAGTGTATTAATGACCATAATAATGGTCATTTACTTAGCAATCTTGCATTTAGTTATATTAATGGTTATATCAAACATATTCATTATTTTAATGGACTCTGCTATCTTAAACTCATAACTTCTTATCTGGAACTGATTGAATTTGAGTCTAATATTTTTTGTATTCTTCACACTGAAATTATCTTGTTTCTCTTTTTTGTTATTGTATTCTGTAGAAAGAACAGCATGATACATAGGCTGTTGGGAGGTATAAGAAACCAATTTGAGATGTCAGTTTTAGACTCTTCCTGGGTCAGGTGGCACCCATCTGCCTCATTCATTTCTAACTTTCAAGTTTATCTTGTAAAACAGGCTGTTAAATAAAGAGTGATAGAATTCAAGTTCTGGAAGAATAGCAGATAGCATTTACATTCGAAGTGCAGCAGTTTGAACATCATTTGCTGAGCCAATTTCAAAGCAACTTGAAGGGGACCTCAGCATTTCCCAGGGACCTGAGTGGCTTTGAACTTTTATTTGTTTTAAAGAAAGTATCACATGCCACATGTACTTCACACACACACACACACACACACACACGCACGCACGCACACACACACACACGCACGCACGCACGCACACATCTTTGAAGCTTATGCACACTGAAACTCTAATGGCTCCATCAGACTAAACTGAACAGATGGAGGAAAATGAATTTAATTGGTAACATTTTTCCCACTGCAGTAGCAGATACCATTACGGCCATAGCAATTTGGAGTTTTGAATAGATGGAAGAAAGGTAAATTCTGGTAATTTTGAGTAAGTAGAAAAATTAATAACTGGCTAGTAAGTGTATGTTATGATGAAAACTTATGAAGAAACATTGATAATAAAAAATTATACTACAGGCTAGTAAGGGTGTATTACTGAAGAGGTTATAATAGTAATGATCTTAAAATCTGCTTTCTTGCTTTTCTTCTTTTCTTGCCTTCCTTCCTGCCTTCCTGCCTTTCTTTCTTTCTTTCTTTCTTTCTTTCTTTCTTTCTTTCTTTCTTTCTTTCTTTGTTTTTTTTTTTCCAGACAGAGTTTCTCTGTAGCTTTGGAATCTGTCCTGGAACTAGTTCTTGTAGATCAGGCTGGGCTTGAACTCATAGAAATCCTCCTGCCTCTGTATCCCAAGTGCTGGGCTTAAAGGCATGTACTACCACTACCTAGCTAAAATCTGCTTTTCATTCTTAGATTTAGAACTAATTGAAAGCTCAATCTACTGAAAATTTAAGTTGCATGTGTTGGAAATGTGTTGAATTTCTCTCTTGGTAATAATCTAGAGTATAGTTCTTTAAAATTTATTTTACATGAGCGCTTAGAATGCAGCATTTTGAAGATTGATAACTATACATCTGTGTCTCAGGCTACATCAGATGTAGCTCAGTCAGTAGAATGTTTTCCTATCATGGCTTGAGTTTGATCTCTAACACTGCACAAAACCATGTGTGGTGATGCCTATTTGTAATCTCAAAGCAACGGTAGAGACAGGAAGATCAGAAGTTTGAGATCATCCTTGATTGCACGGCAAGTTTAGCACCAGAATGGGATAACTTGAGACCTGGTGCCAAAAACAACAACAACAATAACAGTATCTTTGTTTAACTGATGGAAGGCAGTATCTAAATACATTCTTCTCAGTGTGGATCCGTAGATTCATGTATCATCTATCTATCTATCTATCTATCTATCTATCTATCTATCTATCTATCTATCTATCTCCCTATTTATCACAAATCAAGAAATCATAAACAACTATGGGTATTTATGATGTCTTTGAAATCAGAGAATAAAAAAATACTGGTCTTTGGAAGAGTTAAGGTGCATTATTTTTCTAATTGTCCAAACTTACATTCTCCATACGCTGCACTCATCAGGGACAAGTATGTCAAATACAATATGTCAATACACAATTTGACAATTTTAAACCTTATTGGTTGCTAAAATTTACGTGAATATTTATTGCTTTATTATCATCTCTTTAATGACTATATTATAACTGTTTGTTGATACACATATATGCTGCGGGAGCACCTTCCGCTGCTTCAGCCAATAGTCGCTGAAGCACGAGCCCACAGTGCTGCGGGAGCATCTTCCGCTCCATCAGCCAATAGCCGCTGAAATACCAGCCCACTGGGGCATGGTATATTTCTCTTTAAAAGAAGAGCAGCAAGCCTCAGCTTGGCCTCTTGGTTCCGGCTCTTGGTTCCAGCTCCTGCTCCAGCGACTAGGCTCCTTTCCTGACGGTTTATGTGTATGTAAGTTTACCCCCCAAAATGAATACCCCTTTAAAACATAACTGGTATGGGATTGATTCGCCATTACATATATACATATTTAAGTACTCTCTAACCCTCATAATGAGACAAAAACCATAATTAGTTTGAGTACAAAGAAGGTTCACTCTAGTTGTTGTTGTTGTTGTTGTTTTGTCAGACCACCAAAGTGCAATTTGTTAAATCCAAGAGGAGCTGTATTTACAATCTAATCATTGCTAGCTGCAGTAGATCATGTAATCTTAGCTTTCAGGAGGCAGTAGTCATTTATGTGTTGAATCATGGGGTTGAGGATAGCCTAGATTTTAGGGTGAGTTCTAGGACAACCTGGGCTACAAAAAAAGTTCTAAGATAGCTCAGGTTTCTAAATGAGTCACAAAATTGTCTTGGATTGTAGAGTGAGACCCTTTTTCAGATAAAATTCCAGTGTCTAGAACAATATTTGGTAGATAGTTCATACTCATGACATTTCATGAAGTGATATGCTATGAAGATGATTACTTCTTAGAGTGAGTGTGAAAAATGTGTAGTTTTCCTTTAAATAAACTTCATTTTGAGGACCTAATGTCCATTTACTAACCAAGAAAGCATGGACATAACTCTGTAAACTACACAAGTTTATAAATATGGAGGAATGTGACTGAATCAGACAATAAATATAACCAATAGTGAAGTTCAGGAGCAATGAAGTTGGTAATACAGACCCACATTGCATAGTAAAGCGAACATCTCAGACACATTCATATGTTGCACGTTTTTTGTTTGTGTTATCTGACTTTTTGCTTTTAACAATCAGAAATACAATGATTATAATCATGGCAACTTCGTCAATAAAACTTTCCCAGTAATCTTGCACCATGAGTGAAGGGCACTTATTTGAGTAACTTCCCCAAGGGATTTGATAGAGGCCAAAGAGAATTCTTCCTATGTGATATCATTTGATAATTAAAGCATAGCTGTTTATAACTCTGTTTTTATTTAATTTAGGGGACAGATTGAAAAGAATAGAAATCCCAGATCATAAATGTATTTCAAGTAGAAGATACTGTATTCTATAGGCAGTGTTTAAATTGGGTTAAATGGCACTCAGGATATTTATCATATAGAGAAGTAGCATTTTAAGCTATGTTTTTTTTCTGTGGTGTGTGGTGTTTTGGTTATGATTCTTGTCCTGTTTATTTTTTGTTTTTTGTTTTGTTTTGTTTTGTTTCCCCCAACTTAACGTACGCTAGAGTAATCTGGGAAAAGGCAATCACAATTGAGAAGATGCCTCAACCACACTGGCCTGTAGGTAGTCTGTGGGGAATTTTCTGAATTAATGATTCATGTGGGAAGGCCCAGCCCTCTGTGGTCTTTGCATTCCTGAGCAGATGTCCCTGGGTTGTATAATAAAGCAGACTGACCAGGTCAAGGGGTGCAGGCCCACAAGCAGCATTTATTCACGGCTGTGCTTCACTTCCTGCTTTCAGGTTCCTGCCTCAAGTCTTTGCTCTAACCACCCTTTATAATAGACCATAAACTGGAAGATGCAATAAACTTACTTCTAAGCTGCCTTTGTCATTGTGCTTGCCACAGCAATAGAGAGAAAAATTAAGAGAATTATAATGCCTCTGCTGACTTTTATAACCTTGCAATCTGGACACGGAATTTTAAATAATTTCCATGAACAGGGGGCATTTTATATAAGATTCTTAATATTAATATATGAGATATGTAATGAGTTAAATGATCAGAAATTATTTTAAATTATTTTAAATTTTCCTTAAAAGTAGTAAATTATTGATAATTTATAACTTAATATCTGAAAAACAAATTAATAGTTCTTATTGTTTGATTATTTTATAAATGCTTGTTTGAATTCAATATCAATTAATTTTAGCCTTTAAAAATGTTTTTAGTAACAGTGGGCTATTATCAAATCACTTTCCAACAGTTTTACCAATGACATTGATAATCTGTGTAAAAACTAGATAATAAAATACTAGAAATAGATGTACATTTTGTGTATTTACATTTATTGATAAAAGATTTATAAAACCACACATGGTATTTAATTACATTTATTGATTATAGGATTATGTAGTCTGGTAATCTTTTTCATTAATGGGGTTAATGATACCTGATTGTGTGTGAAGAGCAATCATTTATATTATACTACATCAACATATAAATGAAACTCCATTCCAAAATACCTTAGAAAATATTCCCTGGAATTTACTGCACTTAGTATTTTCTCTAAGGATTCTTTCCAGAATCTCAAAGGACTCCCACATTTCATTAGGACTCTTGCAACTGGCATGTAAACATGGCTTTCTAATCTTGAAGAGATAGTGTAATCACTGTAGGTCTCCATTTAGCCATGAATTAAGAAGGGTTGGAATATGGAATACAGGATGCTTTCCAGCTATAATTTATTGTAAAGAAACTGTGTAAAAAAACTTCAGCTCTCTGTTGAAGTCATTTCTTCAGGCTCGCTGTACTCAAGGAGCTATGCCTTCTCTCTTTTCTCCTTCTTTCTTAAGATGTGGGCCCAGTGAGTAGGTTTTCTTACATCTTTAACAAATCTTTTCTTCCCTGCAATATCCCTTCCCAGCTCCTAGTTGGCAAAATTCATATTCGTCTTTAATACTTTGCTGAAAAATTAGCGTTTCCTTTGTAAACATTTGTCCAAATGTAAACATTTGGCTGGGAATGAAGCTGTTCTCTCTTTTGTGTTCTTAGTACTCTACACATAAATCCAATGATCACGCTGTGCTCTGTCTCTCAGCCTCGTCAGAGAATGTGTTCTCTTAGGCACAGTGCCTAGCACACTCTATATGCTCTAGAGCTTGTTTGAACATTAAGTAAATAGGACATAGGATTGAGGAAAATATTTAGGAACTTTCCGTTTTGTTTATTTTTGACTATATTATTGAGGGGAATATTTATTAAAAAGTACAAAAGATACACACAAAAAGCAAAAACATTACAATGTTAGGAAAGAATAAAACTCACTAAAATATATTTAATATCTTGAGTAACAGGAAATTTGAATTCTAAAATTTTACTTAGTATAGTTCTGTTTGATTTGTTTTGGTTGTTTTGATTCTTTTCTTTCTAAGACTGAACATCACTGTGCAACAAAGGCTGGTTTAGTATTCAGGATCTATCTACCCGAGCCTCCCAGGTCACCTGGCTTGATTCATCTCTCTAGTAAATGTGACTGCGTGTCTATTTATCAATTATTTTTCCCTGATATGCAAATTCTGTAAGTATGAACAATTGTAGTGCAATTATCTAGAAGAGTTCAAATTTCAAATTTTATGTGTAGTTCCTTTCAAATTTCATGTGTAGTTAGAAAGAGTTCCTTTCAAATTTCATGTGTAGTTAGTACATGACATATCGGAATGTATGGTGAATTTTTATTATTCTTTTCTCTGTCCATATCTGTGTCTCTGCCATACATGGATAGCCAAGTTTTCTCTGTTAAAAGTTTTGAGGCAAAGAATCGCACGGCCTCCAAAACTCTGCTTGTTTATATATTATTACCATGGGTGTAGGTGTGTACAGATGTATACCACACTGAGCTGATTTCTAGCTGACGTAATTCCTCACTCAGTGATTGAGTATCTCTGTGATGAGGTGATGCTCTGAGAGCATAGTTTTAAACTGGCAGCAAACAAACAAACAAGCACAAACCTAGGTGCATTCGAGACAATTAGAAAAGTGGGAACTTCAGATAATCTGACATTGAACCAGCTTATAAATACATTTTTTAAACAAGAAAGGAATTTATTGGTGTTTCCTTAGCATTTTAAGCAAACATACCCAATTTCTGAAACTACATTAAAAAATTTTCCTAAGAGCGTGCAAAGTAGCAGATTTCCTTATGGCATTTTTATGCATACCTAGTCTTGGCTGACCATCTCCCTTGCTTACCCTCCCTCCCTCCCCCAGCCTCGCTTTCTGGCTACTCCATTCCATTCCCAGTATGAGCCATTCCACTTTTAAAGTCTATATATGCCTTTACTCTTCCTGTGTCTCTCACTTGACGTATCTTTTTTCCTCCCCTCTCATAGGCCCCTTTCTAATTTCCTGGTATCAACCTTCCTACACTGGCACATAAATTTGCATTTTAAATAATTAGATGCTAAGATGCACATATGAGAGAGCACATGTAACATTTGTCTTTTGGGGGTCTTTGTTCACTTCATGTAATATTTTCTAGCTCCATCCATTTTTCCTGAATATTTTATTTTTATTTATGATCATTAAAATTCCATTGTTTTTTATATAATTTTATTTATGGTTGGATAAAATATGTGCCACATTTTCTTAGGCATCTATGCTGATTCTTGCTCTTAAGTATTATGAAGAGTAGCATTAACTCTAAATACACAGCTTTCTCTGAAGTAAAATACAGAGTCCTTTAGGATTCTGCCCAGGAATGGGATAATTAGGTCAAAGATAGCCTCTGCATTTTGTTTTTTGAGAAACTTTCATATAATTTTCCTAAATTTTTAATTTATAATTTGATTTATATCATTGACTAATTCATTTGTTTTAAAAACTTTCAGAAATAACTAAAAATGAGTCATTGAATAAACTTCCCTATTTGTTTCATGAATTGCAAAAATCATGAAAATTTATAATTGTGTATAAAGCACTTTCAAAGAATGCTGAGTTATCTGTGAAGTTGTGTTGAGCTTCAACTTTATTTCCACCCTCTTGCTGAGCTCTTTTAACAAATACTAATAAAATATACAAGCCCAATTTAGCAACAGTGATGCTAATCCAGGATTTGCAGATACTCTGCCAACGTGAGCTCATGAGCAAAAACTTACCGCCCCAATGCTCATCACATACTGTAAAGAGGGTGGTTTTATTGGCTAAGCCAGGGAGCATGCTGCTGCACTCCATGACAATGGCTTGAGGAATCATTATGATGCAGGAGACAATCCAGATGATGACGATACTGTTCCGGGCCCGTTTGGCTGTGCTCTTGAACATCAAAGGGTGACAAATTGCATACCATCTGTCCAAGGCAATGCAGCTCAACGTAAGAACAGACACAGATACGGACACAGTCTAGAGGGGAAAGAAAGGAGCATGGTTCAGGAGAACTGCTAGGTGTCATAAAGATAACAAGACAGCACTTGTCTTATTAGCAAAGTAGCTACAGCAGAAAAGAGTGATTTCCAGGTAACCCATTCTACGTATTCATTCATGTAAATGACTTTCTTGCTAAGAAAATGGATGATGAACAGAAAACTAAAAATACATCAAGAAACTTTGTATTTCCTTTCAGACATGAAGTAGGTGCTTTGAAACCTTGCAGTTTTCTCACATTGCAAGCTTAGTTTATAACGTGAATAATTACTATCTTTTTTGAATACTGATAGTGTAAACAGTATTCTCAGAGGGAAAGAAATTATACATGGGTATATTCTCTTTCAATCAAAATGAATGACATGGCATGTGTATTTTAAATTATTATGTAGGTTTTCACTGGTTACATTTCATTAACATAAGGAAAATTTTTTTCACATTTTTAAATAACAAAGGGTAATTTGATCCTATTTATTTCCAGTATTTTGTATACAAACAAAAGTCTAGAATACATTAAAAGATAATTCTGTACATGAGTATGTGCACTATAGTTTGCTCACTGACAAAATTAGTAACTTGCTTTTAAAAACAAGTAGGTCCTCTCCATAAGACTTGTATGCAAATAATATTACAAGTGATTCTTCAACTTGGAAATTTAAAGAAATAATCATTTCAACCCAGTTGAATCTGACATGATCAATGTATGAAGTTACCTTTAATAGGTTAGGGTTAGGGCTAAGATTAGAAGCTATGGAATTATATAGTTAATTGTGATGCAAAATGCCCAATTCAAGGCTTCCACACAAGTGCTGTGTGTTTGCTATTATTTATTAGACTTATAATGATAACATTTATCATGATACTATGATTTTGATCTTTCATTCTGGAGTCTTGATTTCTGGAGTTTTCAAGAAAGACTATTGAAAAATCTAACTCAACCTGTAGTATTTCTAAACTCTTGGAGGGGTAAGTTAATCTTAGTATAGCTGATAACCATTGAAAAGTTTAGGTGCCTTTACTCTTAAAAGAGCCAATTACTCCTGTTAGTATTAGGGAATAAAGTATATGAAGACTGTTCATCAAAGATCTAATAGGTATTATTGGTTATAAAATTACAAATTATAATATCTAAGAAAAGTATTGTAATTATTCAGTTGAATTTATTACATTTGTATGATTCTTAAGTAATTTAAGAATTTGCCAGACTATTATTGTATATTGCTTGTAAAGCAAAGCTGTTTTGCTTCGGAAAAAAAATGAAAACATTTATATCAAGTTAATAAAAGCCAAAAGCAATCAAATACTCCTATATAGCTTGACTACATTGAAAGTGTATTATATACACAGATAAAAAAATATTTATATAAGAGCAATTAGTTTTCTGTTGTCGCAATAGGAGAAAAACTACTTGACTTGAAAGAATTGTTACTGCACACCTGAAATTCAAGGCAAAGGTGATTTGGGGACACTGGTTTTGTCAGTGCATAAATTTCTTGGCACATTTCCATGCTATGAACAAGAGGTCGTGTTGAATGAGTAACGGGACGGGTACAGATTGTTTCCAGTCTGTGATTGGTGTACTCTTGTGAAAACTGTAAACTGGACTGTCTTCACATAAGAGCCAGAATCTCTGTCCTTTGACATTTAGAATGTGCCTGTAAGTTGTGTTACACTGGAAAATAATGATGCCAGTGACTAAGAGTAACTCTGTGTGCATCCTTGTTGTTAATGTTACTTCCTGTTTTTTGTTTAATCCTTCCAGGAAACTTGGAGGTGCACAGAACAGCAAGCTATGGTTGTATCAGAGCCAGGAAGCACATTCCTAGTAAAGGTGATACTTTCTCACTGCATCGTCCTCTCTATCAGGACATCTGGGTCGCGAGACAGATGTCATGAAGGTTGCCAGGCAACCAAGGATCTGGGCAGTTGAAACTACCCTTAAACCAAGGGGAGTTTACATTTTCTCTTGGATGATTAGCAGAGCTGAGAGAAACACAGTTTACTGGAAATAGCAGGAGGATTCTCAAATATTAGAATTTTCTGCTGCTTTTGATTTTTTTCCAATTTCTGTATGCAAATTCAACTGTGATGGTATATAAATTCAACTATAAATTCTTCCTGAATTGTTTCCTAAAAAGTCGTTCTTCTCTGTTGTACATTTAGCTATTTATCCATAATTTTTATTACAGCTCATTTTGTAACTCACTGGCAGTTCTTAGCGTGCCAGCACACCAACCTTGTATTTAAACCTAATGCATGTATGTAACTTTTCTATTTCTACGGCATCATCACATATCCTATAGATGATGTCTGCTGTTTAAAAATATTACTTCTAAGAGATTATTGAGGAGCTGCTGAATTGAAAAGTCTAACATTTTGGTTCTAAAGAATATTTAAAATTATTTCTAATAGTAGATACTTGTGACCTCTTCTGAATTTCATTATCTCTTCTTGCAAACATTGTGATCTCCACCCAGAAAGGTTCAGGGACTAAGGACAGGGGTAGACGGGGACCGTGGCACATGATACAGAGGGGCCATCCACTTTCTTTGACTATATACTTCCTAAGGGGAACACAATCTGTGTTTTTCTTTATGTTTCCTAAAGTGAACACAGCTCTCAGACTTGTGTTGCCAGGGCCACTATCTGGAATCATTTTATCAAAGACTTTATTTTTATAAATACAATCCGAAAATGATTCTTTTAAAAGTATTTGTTCTTTTCTCTCTCTCTTTTTTTAATTTGTCAAACAGAGATAGAAAGTCTATGCTTACTGCTTATCACCGAGACATCTGGTGATGGTTCTGGTCACTGAGTCTTACTCTGAGTACATTGCTATAAGTTCATGATGAGGCTATCACAGAGCCAAGAGACTTATGTAAATGTTCTAAATAATCTGTCGCAACAGCTATATAAGGTAGATCTTATTAAAATTACCATTTTCAGTAAATGAGTTGCCAAGAGTCTATGTCTTTCACTGGATAGTATACCATCTAGAGATGGCAGACAGATATTCCCAACCCAGAACTGATGCCCTTCTTTGACCAAATATCTTTTAGTTCCTTAGGATAAAAAAAACTGGGAAAAATCCTAATATTTTTGACTATTGAAAAATAAATGCTCATGATTACTTGATCTAGGAGATGCTTAATTATTACTTTGCATAAATGATTTATTTAATGATTAAGACTGTGAAGTAATTAACAGCATCATTGCCTTTATTTTGACTGAACATGAATTTGTTTATTCAGCAATTCTCAAGTATTAGCTTCTTTAAAAATCTTACTTTCTGAATATCTATATTTATTTCTTAATTCATTAACTATTTCACCAGACAGTCATGACTATAACTGAAAACATTTAAAACAATTTCTTAAAAGGCCAAAGAAAGAATTACCTGTAAATAAGGAATGACCTTGCAGAGGGATTGTCCAAAGAACCAGGTCTCAGTGATGTCCACAACAAGGGTGGCTGGAAGGCAGGTGATGGTCACAAGCACGTCCGCCAGGGATAGATTGACTATGAAGTAGTTGGTGACCGTCCTCATGTGGTGGTTCTTCCACACCGCCACGCAGACTGATAGAAAGAAAAAGAGATGGGGAATGAACAAAGAGACTGGGTAGCAGCAAGGAAAGGCAGGAGAGTGAGCACTGTTATAGAGCACATACACCTGTGCTGAAAAGAGGTTAAGGCTGCACTGTGGTCCTTCAAACCGTCACTCTCTGGGAATTTAGAATCTAAGGTTAGGATGAGTTCATTGAACTTACACTGTATTTCCTAATTTAAGGGCTGTGCTATTTTTCAGTTGTATGTCAAGTCAAAGAACAGCCCTGATTGATCTTCCTGTTATTTTAATATTCAGTATGTAGAAAAATATCAGGGAATAGTTGCTGGGTGGAGTATAGCAGCACATGACTTTAGTCTTAGCTTCAGCCCCAGAAGGAGACAGAGGCAGGCAGAGCTCCATGAGTTCGAGATTAGCCTGGTTTACATAGTGAGTTCCAGGTCAGTTAGCTACTGAGTAAGACCCTATACAATGAAATCCTACCAAAATTTAAAAGAAAGTAAAAGAAATAGTTGCTGAGGCTGAATTAAATGAGGAGAATTAGAGTTAGTAATCTTCAAAGAACTGTCATGATTGTCTCATTCATGACCTTGACCCATGTCTTCCCACAAATCTACTTTATGAACAAACAACAGAGAAAAACTCCTAACTATGGGAGAAAATAAACAAACAAATGAAAAAATAAAACAACCTCCTAACATCCAGCAATTATCCAACCCCTAATTTTGCCAAACACTTAGCCAAATAGTTGACATATTTATATTATTCTATTTGGACAAATATTACAAGAATCCATGTTTCCCATGTGAGATAATTAAAATAAGGGCATTTGTTGGGCCTGTTTAAGAACTCATAAAATAAAAGCAGTTAATGGATTTAAATTCCAAGTGATCTATGTGTACTTTCTCCACCTAGGCTACCTTCAGTTTTGAAAATAAAGAGGTTATAGCAGAATATATTTAAATTCTAGGCTACAATGCTCTTGTTTTCCTTTGCTCTTGATGGCCTCTCAACAACACCCTCAAATCAAGCATGGTTGGCCTTCCCACTGCATTGTGGGAAATTCCCTGTTTAAAACGGTGCTAGCACATTCAGCTGCTGTTTTCCTGAAAGAACATCAAGTTCCTACGTTTTCTGCCCTCCTGTCTGGCACACACATTTCAAAACCAGTAGCTCCAGAACCCAGGCACACATACAGCTCTAGCCTCATCTGCTACTGAATTTCAGTGAATGAAACAACGATTGCTTCCAGGGCATCGTCAGCCTGTCAGAACTGTTGTGCAAGTGGTGCTCCGTACACCGTAAGGAGTAGCATAGAAATAAAAACAGTTTGTAAATTTAAATACCCAGAGAAGGAAGAACTTCTTTTTGACAATCATTTAGCATTAGGAGTTTTGTATCTTAGAAAAAAATACTTCCACTTGTGCCTAAGGCTGAAATTGGCTACCAGCTCTCAACTGATGTCATTTAATAAAATATTCATATTTTGGAAGATTTAATTTTGAGTATTTCTAGTGATTCTCTGGTTTCAGTAATGTAATAGCTAAAACATCAGGTGGCCTTAATTAGGATACACTACAAGATTGTCACTTGTGATATTGCCAAATAAGCTATTTCACATAAATACTTGAAACACACATATTCTAGCATTAAAAAAAACACATTACTATGGTTTTTAATAAGAAAATAGAAAATCATTTACTATTTCTGGTACTTTTTATTGTATGCTATGCTGTACAACTTAGACCTAGAACAGAAGATCGTACTTAAAAACACAGTAGGCTTCTGATGTCATCAGTGATTAAGTGCTTGCCTAGCTTGTTCAAGGTCCTGGATTCCAAGCCAGGCATGGGAATTAAAAACAAACAGGTATAGCCTAACTCCACCCAGGAGGGACCTTCTCTCCTGATGGAGGCAGCTGCTGGTCCCAACTCATAACACTTGATTCTGTTCCAGTGCATGAATATTCATTTTTTAACAATCCAGTTTTCGGTCTACCCTTCCAAACAAATAAGTGTTTTTATGGGATTCCTGAGTATGTGAACAAGTGGGTCCCTGATTCTGGTGCCTTCTCTTGGGCTCTTTTCCTTCCGCTGGTTTATCCTGTCTAAATTCAATGGGATCGTTTTTGTTTTTTCTTATTAAATTTTGTTATTTTTCTTTAATGAATGAATGAAAACCTAGCCACTATGGTAAAGGTTGACAACTGAGCCTCTACCTGGGAGAGAGAAAATCAGCTTTCTTCAATGGAATAACAGTGAGTATCTCCACACTCCAGGGAAGGTCCCATGTCCAGGAGTAGCTGGCCAGTAAACAGTTGATTCCACAAGCATGTGTGTGTGGTGTGTGTGTGTGCACACATGCATGCACATGCTTTTATTTGGATACAATTCGGGTTTTTTGTTTTGTTTCTTTTTGGATATTATTTAATGTTATCATATTTTTTTGTTTTTTTTTCTTTTTAAAGAACTTAACATTAGGTGGGTGGGACAAGGATCTGGAAGGATTTGGGGGGAGGAAGAATATGAACATATTTAAATTTAAAATTTGGTTTACATAATAAAATACAATAGCAATTTTTTAAAAATCACAGTTAGCTCTGCTGTATCTCTTTTCCTGGATGAGTGGCCTTCCTTGCCTCCTCCTAACTTCTTGTGGTCTGATAGCAACCATGGCTGAGTCTGGAAAACTGTACCCGTGTAACTCCATTTTCTCTCTTAGTGGTCACACGATAGTCTCCTTGGTCTATGTCTTTCTGTAGTCATCTTCTTACGAGAATCACATTCATGTGGGGTTACAGGTCCACCCTAGTGCAGCAAAACCTTTACATCTTCGATGACCCCATTTTCAAAGAGAGTCACCTTTGAGGACTGGAAAGACGTCACAGTAGTTAAAAGCACTAGTTGTTCATCAAGAGAACTCGGGTTGATTTCCAGCACCCACCTAGCAGTAGTTAACAATTGTTTGTAACTCCAGTTCCAGGGAATCTGTGACCCCCTTCTGCCTCCTCAGGCACTAGACATACAGCAATACATGGAAATACATACAGGAAAAACACTCATACATATAAAATAAAAATTAAAAACAACATATGTATACAAAGAAAGTCACTGTATCTTCTAGAGGTAAGGGACAAAATTGAAATGTAGCTATAATGAATAAGTATTTAAAGACCACCATTATGCCCATTCTCCCAGTCTTTTCTTTTCCACCTAAATACTTAAGACTCTCACAAGCACCTAAAATTCTGTATCACTTACTTCTCTGGTCCCTGTATTCTGAAGATGTGCCAGATTATTAATAACGTCTCTCAATGAGCCATATATAAATGCACACGCTTCGACAAACTCCTCCCCTTAAGGCTCAAGGATCTATGTGGAAGTAGAGGCAGGAAAATCAGTATATACCAGACATAACAGGACTGGTACACATAGCAACTCAAACTGTGACAACATAGAGACAGAGTAAAGTCAGACTGGGTCTCAGAACTGGGAGGGTGGGTGAACACTGAATCCCACAGCTGACAAAGAAGCCATTTGCAATTAATATCAGCAGGCAAAGCTTTCCTCAATGGTGGTGTGTCATTGGGTGTATCAACTACACTCAAGGGTAGGCTTTATGGCCAGGAGTGATGGGCAACACAAAATAAACTCTATAGCTTTGTTTTTCTTTTTGGTGTGTGTGTGTGTGTGTGTGTGTGTGTGTGTGTGTGAGAGAGAGAGAGAGAGAGAGAGAGAGAGAGAGAGACAGACAGACAGAGAAATAGAGAGATAGAGACCTAGAGATAGATAGAGACATAGAGATAGAGAGACAGAGAGAGACAGGAAGAGAGAGAACATAGAAAATAGTGGGTAGGGCAATGGGGAGAAGCTGGGAAAGGCGAAAGGATGATCAAAATGTATGAAAAAAAATTATGAATAAAATTGGACCCCAAGCCATAGACTATTACCAACCTCACTAAAAGAGACATTCTCATTTTGCTAATGTAATCATAAAAATCCCTCACAGACACTCTCAGCCGCTTGTCTCTGATAAGTCTAAATGCTGAAAAACTAAAAATCAGAATTAATCACCACACATTATTACCCAGTAGAGGTAACAAAAGTAAAAAAAAATCAATAAAGAACATTAGCGGGAGAGTAATGGACAGTTTATACTAGAGCTTTATGTGTGGTTGTGTTATTCTGTCACTTAAAAGTACGTTTAGAGCTTGCATTATGTCTGTCCATTTATTCATAGGTTATGACTCTGCTTACCCAACAAGGCTTTGCTTCTCCATGGACTTTCACCATTCTCCTTACGTGTAGTAAGGTAGTTACATCCCCATTGCCCTGGTTGCTCTTGTGAAAACATCTCACACTGTCAGGATCTGTTTCTAAATGGCCTGTAAACTACACATACCCCTGCAGGCATGTTCCACAAATCTGTGGGTCTTTGTATTTGTTTACTCACCCATTCAAGATCAAAGCTACAGTAACCTCTTCCTCCTTCCACAGCACACCAAATGCACCAAAAACTAGGTTCACAGTCTTTGCCCAGATTTTCTATTTCGCTGAAATTTAAGACCCTTCATTTCTCCCCAGTGATCAATGCTTGAAATATCCAAAATATTTCTCATCGGTTACGTTTTTCCTACTCCTGTTGAAAATATCCAGTGTCCCTGTGCCTATTAGCACCAGTAACGTCGGACCCTCCTGGTGGCTTCTGGCATGACATCTGCTATGACCATTATAAGCAATGTTTTGTGATCACATGCTCTAGTTACACCAGCTCTCCAACTTTCACAGCAGCCATCTTCATAGGAGATCTTCATCCAGGCTTTCGTTTTGGTTAAATTAATATTCAATTATGTAATTTCTCACTCATTCTTCCCTTCAACTCTCCCATACTCCATTGCTCCTTCTTAAAATCTATGCTTTTTTTTCCTTTGGTTATTTATTGACATACACACACACACACACACACACACAGTGCTGAGTGTGTTTGTTTCTTGGATATATATCATTAGGGG